GGGGGGGGGGGGAGGATAGGATTGATATTTTCTGGAACCGCACAATGGAGTTTTAAGCTGAGACTCTAAACTGGAAAACAAACTTGTGAACACGTGGTATTTTGGTTATATCAACTAAGTTGAAATTGTAAATTGGCCACCGTAAAGAGTTAAAAAGCTGACGTTTCAAGCGTTAGCCCTTTGTCAGACTGTTAGAGCATTACAATTTCAACTTAGTTGATATTACCCTGGTCCCAGAGGTTCTTTTCTCTCAAAAAAAAAAATAGGATAATCTCTTCTCCCTAAAAAAATCTGTGCCAAGCACCAACAACGAGCTGTGAAGCAGCGAGCAGTCGAGAGAACCTCTGGTGGAGATTGTTGAGAACCTCACTTTGGTGCATTCAGCTGTTTTGACAGCTGATCAAATCTATCGCTTTTCAACAGCCAATAGGAAACATCAGTATCAAAGAAAAAACAATCATAGCCAATCAGATCACGAAGATCATCAGCTGAGTGCGCCAAAGTGAGGTTCTCAACGGTCTCCACCAGAGGTTCTCTTGACTGCTCGCTGCTTTGCAGCTCGTTGTCGGCACTTTGCGCTGATTTTTTTTGGGAGAAGAGATTTATCCTAGTTTTTTTTAGAGAGAAGAGAACCTCTGGGACCAGGGTAAGTTGATATAACCAAATTATCTTGTTACCCCCCACCGACACAGCACCACAGTTTCTTTTCACCCGTTATTCATTTGTGAGCTTATGATTTTGCAAGGCCACAAGAATACTTAAAACGGGCACAAAAGGGGAGCAAATGCATCACAAAAAGAACATTTGGCGATTTTGTGATGTGATATTAGAATGAATCTATGTTTTGTTGAAAACTATTAAGTTTTTTTTGCTTGGTGATGATTTGTCACACTTTGGGACACACTTTGGTTATGTGATTGGCAGCCGGTCAGGGTCATTAAAGACTGAGTAACCGGCAGTTTGGTATTTTTCTGAAAATTTGACAAATTGAGGGAACCCATGCAATCCAAACTATTATTATCTGTTGATGAGGAACTTCTAAGCAATAACCTCTAATGTTCGGTCATGTTTAATGCAGGGCTTTGAATATGTGGTCCACTGCCGGTCACAGCTCTCCAATAAGTGAATGACTGGCAGTTGGAAATGTTTTGAAAAACTTGAGAATTCGAGACAACTTATGCAATCCAAACTGTTATATTTAGACGAGGAACTACTAAGTGATCCCAAGGAGATTTATAACTTTCATGTAGAACACTCTGTTTATGCTGGACTAAGTGTTAACATCCATGATTTCATTCCACCGTTAACTTGCATTACAAAGGAAAAGTTTTGCTTGTTAGGAATCTGTCAACTGTTGTGCTTAATGTTCATGATCAAACCTGCCTAACATTATCACGCAATTAACTCGTAAAACTTGCAAAACTTGCAATACTTGCTATTAAGTTTGGCAAAGTAGAAGCTTGACTTCTGAACTGGGCTATAGTGTCGACTGTTAGAACCTTGCATCAATTAAATGAGGTCCAAGAAACTGAATACTGCTTGATCAGACCTCACCCTCACTGGAAACATGCTGTTAACAAAGTTTTTATAAGGGAGTGCTCTTCAGATACTGATTGCACTCTTTTCTTACTGACTGTTGGACTATGTGTAAGTTGCATAGGTTTTACAATATACGTAACTTACATCTATAAAATAGGTCTCAGTTGAAGATAGAAGCCAAATGTCTAAAAGTGTTTAGTTCAACTGAAATTCATAATGCCTTTGGTATGGACATGTACTGAATTAATTGTTTAATAATTTGCATTAAAAAATTACAACTGATTGGCCTAAAAGAGTGTATTTCTCATGTAAACCAAGTACAAAGTTGTAACATGCAAGCAAATTACAAATATTGCCTTTGTGTTGTCAAAAGTTTGTCAGTCTTGACTTTCTGTGATCCTTTTTTCTTAGATAACAAGATTTCATCCTGCAATTTGGTGTCAATAAGTATTTGTAAATTTTTCAAAGACTACACATTGCACTTGCTTTATGAGCTTGTGGAATTTGCACTTGAAATCAAGTTACCTAGACAAAGTGCCAAAAATGGTGAATTAGATGTTCTGCAACCATTTCATGGAAATCTGATTGCATACTTCCTCAGTTTTTAAGAGAAAATGTAAGAAATTAAAAAGAAATCCTGGATATAAACTGATAATTAGGTAGAAAAATTCAACATCATCCGAGCTTGAAAGAGTGTGCAGGGAATTTTTGTTATTTCCAATTAAATGAAAACTATTTGCAAAAAAAAGGATTTTGGCAAACTATATTCCTTATATCAGAATGCAGTTGGCATTAACACTGTCAGCACCCCCGTTAGTTTGCTTGGGTAGAGAGAGATTGTAAGAATCGCATGTCATGTTAATTAAAAATAAAGTGCACAGGACACAGTGTTCTTCTTTTTTTTAACATAAACCACTGTCTTCAGCACATTACCTCATCTAACTCATATAGCTGGCTTTTTGTCCCCTTCACTGGTTAACTGTACATGAATATGTGAGTACCCCTCTCAGTAATTTTGTCCCCTTCACTGGTTAACTGTACATGAATATGTGAGTACCCCTCTCGGTAATGAACACTACTTATAACAAGCAGTAGTGAAAATAAAGCCTAAAAAATTCAGGTCTGTACAAATTTGAACCCAAGACCTCTGCTATACCCATACAGTGCTCTTCCAACTGAGCTAGCAAGCCAACTGAGAGGTGGCATTTTGTTGGTTTCTAATGATCTTGTGAAGTGGTGAATAGTAAATGACTGTGCATTTATGAAAATTATATATGTGAAATGCAG